GCATTGCTATACCAAAAAAAATATATAATTGTATAACAGTCTTCGCTTTCCGCTACGTATAACAAATCTATATATAAAAAATCTATTTATATAAATTTTCATTCAAATCTGTTAATACTTTATTAAGCAACATACAAATTTACTTTCGTAATTACAATAGTGTTTTGTAATTAATAATCCTCATAATATCGATGAGTTGTTTGACAGCACTATTAGGTATGTTCCCATTTCGTTCCAGTACTTTGATTGACCATACATCATTCAATATTTACGTTTACTAAATAACAACTTACACGCTCTGCACAGATTAAAAGCACGACTATGTTATTAATCTTAGCTAGAATTTCAGACAGACTAATTGCTAAATATTTAGACGGACTTGTAATTTAAAAGAACAAATACATAAGGAAAACATAGCGTAGTTGCGACATTAAAATCAATCGATAAAAGATGTTATGAGAACCATCACTAATGATTGGAAATCATCGATATTATAAAATTATATGCATTGCAATCAAATAGATCTTAACCGATAAACCAGTTATAGAAAATCTAAGACATGAAAACGAAACCGGCACCATAACGGCATCTCTGTAATTGCTAGTAAAAACTACATTACCGGCAAATTATCTTATTATAAAGGCACAGTTAGACAGACATGCGCATATCACTGAGAGCTAACAGCCAACGAATAGAGGAAAACTGTGAACACAAAGGCGCGCCCATTTCCACCGATCATTGTGCTGGAATGAGACAAAAGATTCCCCATCTCATTCTTACAAATCCTAACCAGCGATGCGCAACAGAGATGGGCTTCCACAATAGACAATTGTCATCCCCACCATAAGATGAACTGCCCTAGTAAAAGACGCTCGTGCGATTTTCATCTTAGTTTAATACGTTTTCCGTATAATAAGGTCGATCTTGGCGTGTGTCATGTGTAATGTAATTCAGCCAATAATTTGATTCGGTCGTTATCATTGGGAAAACAATGGGTCGTGAAACGTAGGTATTGTGTGACGGAAAGAGGATTGTTTCATGTATCTGGGTTATAACTACGAGGATTGGGTTAACTAATATATAATGCTTGAAGTAAAATCAAATTGGAAACATAATTTGTTATTACAATGCAACGGGATCGCAATTAGAACTGTCAACTGATATTCTATTTTTAAATGAGACGTAGTATATTTTTAAATTCCATTCCCAATCGCGCTACATAGTCGCGGGCTTAGTGCCGTGACTTTTTAATATTAAACCTTTTTTTTAATCAAAACGTTGTCACCGTGTGTCCGTCGGTTTCTTTCACAAACTAATTGGTCTGACGTTTACCCCCGGCCTTTTTTTTTTACGTTCCAAATGAATATTTAAATGCATCTCGTTGACATGTGCGATTCCAGTGCGGACTTTTTAATGTAAGTGACAAGTTTTTAAAGCGTACTCAAGTGCTTTAGCGTTATGATGTAAAATGGATGCCGGGTAATATTAATTTTGTCAATATCACCTACATCGCGCGTTCTGAGTGGCAACCGAGCGGGCTCAAACGATTTTGTAGTTATTTTTACACTTATCACGTGTAAACGATGAACTTGCAAGTGTTATATATTTATATATGTTTTTATGTAACACGCTAACGTTGTTTATGCTAATAAAGGTTCGTTTTCAGTAGGTCATAATACAGATTTTATGTTTGCGGTACCTCTTTGATTTCTCGTGATAAATATTCGACTAATTAAATACTGACTTGAGTTTGTTTGTTTGATATTCATTTTACTGCTGCGAATTAAATAATTTCCTTTGATTCCACTTACTTTCTGCGGATTTATATAACGCAATGTACGAATCACAAGGTTTCACAGACTCCGAATTTCATAACTAGATACAGAATTAATGTTTTCTAAAACGTTAAATTGTATATTAAAAGGGAGTATTATAATTAGAGAGTCAAAACATTCAGAGCTACCTATTAACAAGCGCAGAGATACATCAGTAACACAAAAACAGATAATAAAAATGTCCACCCCGTTAATTTATTTTGTCTTTAATTTTTAAAAACGGAACGAGGAAGCGGACCAATGAGACGCATCCCTCGACTGATTGTCAATTAGCGACATCAAACGGGCTTTTTGCGAATTAAGCGCGCGTTTGTGTTCATTTTTTGTCCAGCAGTCGAGTGGTGTGGGTGTTTGATGCGTTTTTCCGTTTCGCAGTTTCATTTTCATATTTCCGTTTGTCTGGCCGTCTCTGTAGGGTGGGCACAATGTGTTCTATGTTATCGACGCACGACGTTTATGTATGTTTGTTTTTTAATTCGTTTGAGTGCTTTGCAGTCTTTTAAAAATAAATTGTTAATGCTCTATTGCCTTTATTTGGATACATTGACTTGAATGAAGTGTAAGATTACGAAAGACTGGTTTACCTGTTAGACGAGCGGATTTCTCTGGTAAATTGTTTTGAAAGCGCTCCGTTAATTGGGTTTTTGTGAACACTTCTAGTTATAGTGAATAGTTGAGTAATGCATTTGTAAATAATTGTAGCACCGTTTATCTAAGCTGGCTATGAAATTCTTCATCCTATTTGGCTTAACGATCTTATCTAGGCATGACTTATCAAGGACATCACTTTAAAATAACCAGTCCGTATATAATATATACGGTATAGGTTTTAGTCAATAAATCGATCTTTATGTATTCTAGAATGACATGTCCAGGCATCGTTCAAATACCAATCGAACAGTCCAAAACAAACCTGTCTGGCTGAAAGACATAAAACAACATGAAATAAAACAACATTCAGTATCGAACGCGCCTATTCGGAATGGATCCGTAACGGAGTCAACAAAGGGACGTTCTATATTTGAAAAAAGCGCGAATACGAACGCTAGGCCGCCATTAGCCGCACCCATTTGCGCATCTATGGCAGACCTCTTCAATCTGTACAGTCAACAATTGTAGGGTTGGCTCTTGGATTTATCCTCGATTACATATGAAAACTTTTTTATATCAATTAATTTTTTTTTCCAATGATTTTGAAGACAATTTTCGATGTCGTTTACTTTTCGAGCATTCGTGCTTAATGAGATCAGACAGCTACGGAACAAGTGTCAAAATAACGTTATGTAACATTATAATTAAATAAAAAATATATTTAAATCACTCGCAATAAACAACATCTACGTCAATATACGAATTATATATTTAAATTTACAAAAATAAAGTGAAAGAGATATTTCACTGTCGGATTGAAATGATAAATAAAAAACATTAATCAGTCAAAAAAAGTAATACAAACATACTTAAAAACAAGCTAGGAACTGTATCAGAAACGGGACAATTACAATGGTATAAAAGGCATAGTATAGCGTTCTGTAATACAGTTGATAGCAGCCCTATAGTAGGGGGCATGTGATCGGGTTGTATTTTTTATCGCTGATTCATTAGTATGAGAGTGTCTTTGTTGCAGCCGACTGGAGCCCTAACTCCATACCATACGTATTCATGAAATTGATTTGAAATGAAAGGATATTCATTACCATTGTATCTGAATCCGAATTAAAGACAAATCGCACGTTCAATGCGCTCACAATCAATAGGCACTATTTGCAATCAGATATTTTTTTGTATGCCCTTTTTAAGCCTTTCCGTTTTATTGGCGTTTAAAATGATAAGTCAATATTTGCAGTTTTTGAAGACAATTTTTTATTAATAACAACAATCATGTAATATTATGTTGTATTTGTTTTTATAATTTATATGAATTAAAACGAAATCGTGCTTCAAAGATGAACGTTTTATTTTAAATTAAATTTCTCAACTGGTTCACGAACGTTCGTTTCGTTTTAATAAAAAAATCTGTCAATTAATCAAGCATTTACCGATACGGTATTATAATTTAAAAATAATTAAACATTTATTGTCTCAATAAATTAAGATTGATCGGAAATGTTACGACATCTGCTCAATTAATAATGAATTAATAAAAATTAATAACTGTTTGTTTATATCAGTTATTTGTGTACGTGCATTTTTGATTGAAGATATTTACAGTGGAGATCAGGACAGTTTTTTATCTGGTGTACTTAGCATGCAAGGTCACGGGTTACATTGGGGTGCCTTTTTGTCCCTTTAGTCACTTTTTGTCAAGAGATTTAGAATAAAGATACTTACAAGTATAACATGCAGATTTAGATGTTTTTATTTGATGAAAATTATCCAAAATAGAAGCTACTACAATCATTTACGTGAATCGTTTATAAAATTTTTCTACTTCTCTCAGCATACATGGAGAAAGAAAATATATATTGGATTTTGTATTTTTTGGTAGGTTTGGTTCCATGGAGTATCAAATACACTTACATATGTAGCACATATATCCTGATGTACTGTTATCAAATTTCAAATATAATTTTCCAAGATTACTAAGCAGATTTCTACTAAACTTTTCATTATTATAAACACAATTTATTATTATTTATGGAAAAAAAAATTTTTTTGTTGCTTCCGAGAGAACTTTAAACTAACTGTAGATAGTATTATCTTGTCGTCGCTTCATTTTTTTTGCATTGACAAACAAGCGAATGTTTGATAAACTAGGCTTAAATCCAAAAATGACTTAAAATCCTAATTCCGGCACAAACCGGTCCTATTTACCCCTTCCGTAAATTAAGTTTGTTTCGCCTCGATTCGGCTTCCAAAGACTGTTACTGGCAAAACTTTAAATGGGGTCTTTTGTGCTGTTTTTAAATTAAATTTAAATCCTTTTACAAACGTCTGTTTTATTTACATTGCTAAATAAAACGAAAAATTTTAAGCATTGATGAGAATATTCTATTGTGTCATACTTTTAATTTGATGCTCTAAAATTTAAAAGCGCTAAAAATTGTAAGTGTATTTTATTTTGATAATGAATCGAGTTATTTTGAAAAGGTTCCAAATTATAATCGTCTTGTGAAAGAAAAGATTTTTTTTTAGTTTTTTGGTGATTTAGCGGCTATGTCTTACCTTATTATGTTCTTGCTGGGCCAACAGTTGCTCTCGAACCATTTGGAGCTGTAAAATCATCTCGGATAGCTGCCTCTCCTTCTCCAAAACACTTTCTCCTGCCTGCAAAGCCTGGAGCGTCGCTGCGTCTAGAACCCCTCGTCTGTCACTGGGGAAGAAAGTGAAGATTAAACCTAATGAATTAAACAGCCCTTACATTAATATTTTAGTAGCTAATGATACTATAATTGACTCCAGGCTCCATTCGCCTATTTGGTTCTTATCATGTCACCGACATATTATTATTATACGTAATTGGCTATCAAGATATTAAGTACCATCTAAGTCATTCGGTAGTTTTGAGCTTCATTGTAGAAAATACATACAATATTCTGATAAAACTATATACATATATTACATAAAAATAAAATCAGCATGTATGTAAATTATATTTATAAAATAAAACCCATACTATTTGCATTAAAAGCCTTTCGTGTGTAAATAAGAAAATCCGTTAATAAGTCCTTGAATTTATTCATAACAACACAACATACTTATTTTATTACTTCAATATAAAAGTTAAGCTAATTTTTGATTAAGAGATAAAATATAGGGGAGCGGGGGGCACGTTGTTACAGGGGTAAGAAGTTACACGCATTTTTTACCGGGATTTTCAACTCTTTGGTAGACGTAAGTGGACTCATTTGTTTTCTTATAACATCGTGCGTTGCAAAAAAACAATCAATGACCCGCCAAGCGGCTAACTGTTAGGTTGTGTGCATGTGTCTCGATTTCCATCAAGTTCGTAACAAAATCTTTTACGAAATTTTTGATTCCTGCTGTCTATATTTGTTATTCTCTAAATTCTTTTCGCCTCGAACGTTCATAATGTATCGAATTTTAATTTGTAATAGCGTTTTATTCTGCTATTGATATCCATTAATGGCGGCTTTAATTTTAATTAAAAAACACACCATGGGGCAGGTTGTTACAGTTTTTCGGGGTAGGTTGTTACATGTAACAACTTGCCTCAGATCTTGTATTACTGTTCATCTCATTGACTATCATTTAGAAATTACTACGCTGTACTTAAAAATTAGAATAAATGGAAAGAAATTGGACCTGGAAAATCCGGAATTGCTAGATTCTGCGCCTCAACTGAACATAAGCACAAATGAAATCATACAGGCAATCGAAACAGCAACCAATCTATTACCTGACACTATTAACAATATTACTGTTTCACCTTCTCCAAATCCAGCTTGTTCGCAAGATATAGAATGTTTAACAACATTACCGAGTGCAGATTCGTCAAGTTTGCAAAATAAAATTGAATTAGCGATACCAGGTCCATCTGGTATACAAAGTGCATTTGAAAATTTTTCGCCTTCAAAGATAAGGTCCTTTCCCAAGGCAGAGGCTCGAAAACAATCCATCCATAACCGTCGTAAACGTAAGTCCGCTGTATTAAGCGATAAACCAAAATAACCAAAATAAACGATATATAAGATTTAAGAAAGTTCCTGCCAAAGTTATGTGATTATTACTGTTAAAAAGTTGGAAAATTACGATATAGATAGTATAATTGCTCATAAATGTTATAAGACTGATCAAAATAGCTTTTTTTATTCATAACGTTTTGAAATAATAAAAAATAAATAATTTATTATTGTTCATTTTGTTTATTTACCTACTGTAACATCGTGCCCCGAAGCTGTAACAACTAGCCCCAAGTCAGGGGTAAGTTGTTGCAATCGACTTATTTCATTAATTCTCTATTTTGGGAAAAATTACGTAAATTTTAATATTTTCTCAATTCTATTCTACTAGCTGAATAGCCACACTAATGGTAAAAGCAATCAAATGTATACATTATTTGATAGCTTTTGTGATATTAATAATTATCTAAAAATTGTAACAACGTGCCCCCCGCTCCCCTATATAACATTTTTTGTTAATACTATATAAAACGAGAAGCAAAAACTAATAATATCGGAACGGGTATTCGTTAATTAGAAATTCGCAAAAACAACAAATAAAATTGGAGTATTTATATTGTATATTGTATAAGAGATCAACATCGCGAGATAAATCCGACGGTAACATCAAAAACAATTAGACTGGCTATCAATTATTTTACATATCACTGAACAGAATGATGCACCATTTTAAATTAAGTCTCAAATAATAAAGAAAGGAAAAACATGTTCGGATAAGATTTAAATTTCCGACTTGAAAACATTTTAGACTGTTCTCGATGTATTTTTTTGAAATTAAAACAGAACTATATACAGGGTGACGGGTGAATTACTATCAATATTTATGGAGAATACTCGGTACATGATTCTCATTCGAATTATGTAAAAAAAATAGGTACTTAATTTTTGAACAAATTTCCGTGTAAATAAATAAAGTGTGGACACGTTCCAAGTGTTCCAAGTGTGGACGCGTGTGTGTGTGTGTGTATACCTAATCTGTAGGGTGTTCACACGATGCGAAATTAATTACATTACTTTTGGTTAACTTTACTTAGAAGTTTATTAATATTTATGTTATATTAATTTTTATTTTGTCATATATGATCGTCAAATATCACGTTCTCAAGTATCGATAGTAATTCACCAGTCACCCTGTATATTTGTTTTTCTTAATTTGAAATATTAGCATAATTTTCCTTGTGTCATTTTTCGTAATTTATGACGCGTGCAACAGTATACACAAGTTAAAACAACATCATTCAAACTACATAGAAACTTCCCTATTTGTGTGTATTTTGCAACACAAACGTTTGCATCAGAGACGGAACTGAATTATTAATGCCATGTCCGTAAGATGCTATTGCCTTATTATGAACCGAACGTGGGATATAGAAATTCCTTTAAGAACTAAATATATTGTATGTAATATAAATTTAAACTATACAGTTCTAAAGAGAAATGTTTACAAAAAATCACAACAAAAATACAGGGTTCTTTATACGCGGAAGTATATCAGAATACAAATCTACATAACTGAATGTAATTGTCTCATTTTCCTCAATACTCGAAATAAGCTCAAAGACTGAGATAATTATAATGATTTATTCTTAAAATTTTGGGTCGAAATGGGAACTTTCACTATATTGAGACCCGTCAATCAGCTATCGTAATGAGGCCTAATTAAGAAACATATTTTTTGTCACATTACATTAAATACATCAAAATATCTCTCAAGTTAAATATAATGGTCAACCAATTTGTGCATTTAATTTTATATTGCAACATAGTTTCAAAATTAATCACATAAATTAAAAAAATAATTTAAAAAGAATTTTTAAAATCTGAAAAATAATTTTGATGATATAATTATATATACCAACGGAGATGAAATCTTTAACCAATATTATATTTTTTTCTCCTACTATCCTCAGTAGGTAATGAGCTTAATTTGTACCTCAAAATATTCAACAAAAATCTCAAATATTTTAATTTTCCGTGTGAAATAAGCTTTATTCTCATAACGTTGAAACGTATACACAATACAAGAAGCCACGCTACGCTACCTGTGCGAAGTAATGTTTTATTTTCCTGCTCAGTGGCGCGCCATTCTTAATTTATTGTCAGCCGAATCAAATGTTTTTTTCTATATATGTTTAGTCTGCATCGAGTTCGGAGCGATAATAAAATGCCGACCGCGAACAAAATAGCAAAAAACATGTGATTTAAAATTGGGAATGGAGCAATTACTAAAAAGGTCAATTAGTATCCACTAACATAAGTTAGTTAACGTCCCTATTGGGGTGACTAATAGAGCAGCTAGCTTTTCAACTGATATTCGATTATTCCAATTTGCAGACCACTTTATTTGGCATCGATAAAAAATAAAACTGTCATAAATATATCGTGTCGTTAAGATACAGTGAATGGTATAGGCGAAGAGCTGGTTATGGAGAATATAGATTTGTATTTTTATAAACTTTAAGTAAATTATGATATTTATATTGTACATTGTATTATTATGAGATTTATTTAAGCTTATCCACTTTCAACAATCTCTAATTTGGTTATTTGAAATTAATAATTTTATATATACATTACTTTAATTTTCCCATTTATAATGTCTAAAAGATAATTACTGGCTGAAATGTGAAATTATCCTCGAGTAGGTGTGCAATTGGAAATGTCAAATCCATTTTATCACATGTAGCAAAAAAACAAAGATACGTCTGTAAGGAAATCTCGCAAGGGTAAGGGGTGACGTCATTAAAATGCATGCGAGGGACATGACGCCATGAATTTTGACGTAATACATCGTGTTTAAGAAAAGTCTCGCAGGTACAACGAGATCTATAGTCTACAGTAACAAAATTGTTAAGAAATTTAAGATACCTTAGATCAAAACATTCTTAGGTATAATTCAAAAATGTATAGTAAATGTATTAGAATACAGTAATTTATAAACTTTAATATAGATCGAAGTGTTTATTTTTTAACATGTACCTTAAAAATCTTTCCACCCCAACAGGAAATCTGCAAAGTTAAGTAAAAGAAATATCATCTCCTGTAAAATCTCGATAGCTTCCCCGCTCGCGTTATTAACCGTCAGGGCCACCTGACACAATAATTGTGTAAAACATGTCTCACAACTTCATTCTTTTCCAAACTTCCCTTTGAATTATATTTTTCGATCAAAAATTTTCACTTCCTTTGATGATACCTTAAGAAGCAAATGAGATTTTGTTTTATTATTTCTTTCGACGTCTTTGAGGTTTTCTTTTCGATAGAGATTATATCGTTGATGTAAATTAAAACAGTCCTTTGTGAGGGTTCTAATTATTACGATCATTGACAATGTTAATTTAGGAAGCCATTCTGCCTTTTCATATCTCATTGAACGATAATAATCTTTCAGGAAACCTATTATGGAATCGTATTCAAATTCTTTAGTAAACAGATGGCTCGCTTGTTATTTTAAAGAACTAAAGCTTCACTATTCTGTAACGTGATGCTGTATGATGCATTAACTATGCAGCGATGGGGTTGCCGCACAATTTGTGGGCAACAATAAAAAATCCCTTAACGCCAGACAACGCAACTTGTAAGGCCATCCGTCTTCTTCCCCTCCTCACTTAGTGTGGATATGGTGAAGACTTTTAAAATATATCTTATAAACAATTTGCTCGATTCCTACGTATTCAATTATTCATATAGAAATAAATACAAAAGTTTGATCAGACATAATTAGTTCAAAAATAGAATGAAAAATAAAAAGAGATAACAAATGTTAATTTTGACGTTTATATTAAGTAAGGAGGTTGTGAGAAATGAGGATTTATATATTAGAATAAATATTAAAATATCTTTCGCTACGTGTGTGTAGTCTATATGAGTGGTGTTTGTTGTTCCGTGAGTCCACACTATTATATCCCAACAATGCAGTCATTATTATTTTAAAGGTCGTCGTCCGTCAGTCTTTCCGTTTTTATTCGCGATGTTTGCTGAGCGGGAGAATGATAGCATTTTAAATCAGGTTAAGGTAAAAGATTTTTTTTTATACAAAATAAAATAGTTTGAATGTTAAATAAAGTATAATAAATTTAAGAAGTATGCACTATATATGACGTTTTTACGTCTTTTTATTATTATAAAAAATATATATTAATGTTGTTTTATTTCGTCTTTTTATTATCAGTTGGCAGATGTATTAAATAGTTCTTGAGTTTTGTGATTATGTTACCATTGGCCAACATTACGTATCCACGAGTCTAATAACTACTCCAGTACCACTTACAATCATGATCTGACTCGGTCATCTAATAAAAGTCGTTTTAGCAGAACCGCCCATAAACGTGCTGCATACATTACCAATAAATAAAATGGAATGGACGATTCAATTCTGTATGTTCAATAAAAGTACATACGAAATGTAAAGGCGAACATGAATTCTTCATAGGAAATTGTATAGCCATTGGTATTATCATTTTTAGTGCTCGCCACATTGCTATATTCAGATGGAATTTTTGATGCACTGGCAACATAGTTCCACTGCGATTGGCTGCCCTGAATATTGTATGAACCAATCACTGCGTTGCGCTTAACGTTGCATTCCAATTTCAAATGACTAAGGCGGCAAAACGAATAACCAAACTTTTGCAATGTAACCGTTATTTAATTAATATAGTTTGTGTCAACTTTATTTCAAAAGTCGAACAATTTGTATGGTCTTCATTTAGTACTGGCAATATAATAGAGTAAAGTTATATGTGTAATACCAAAAAGATATTGACACAAATGGTGATTGAGGTTAATTATAATAATTTCAGAAACACGCTGTCTAATGACCAAATATTAATAAGGAATTGTAAAATGGGCGGTGCAACTTGTTACGTAAAACAAATTAGCATCAAGTAATTAATAATAATATGATTAGTCAGAGCAACGGTGTATAGACAACATAGATTAAATTAATTTTTACAACGAAACTTTATCTACTGGCTTATTTGGTAGATATTTAATTAATTTTTTTAATCTGTGTTCGCTTTGACATTTGACCGTTGACTAAATAGCAGTAGTAAATATTGAAATAATTAAAACCATAAAATAAACATGAAATATTCAATAACGTAAACATTTAAAATAGACGTTTAGTTTTATAGTGTAGTATTGTAAATCTTTGCAAGGCTACTTTGTCTTGTAAATAGTTATTGTGGTGCACAAAGACGCATTGTCAAAGACATAAGGCCTTGTCAATTGTCTGTGTCATCGCACACAGCTATTTCAATTGACGTAAGTCAAATTGTTTCTATTTAAATAATATTTCTATTCACAGTTAGTTTTGTTTGTATATTATTGTTTGGTATATTCATAAGTTAATTTGGTCAAGAATACTTCGAAATTAATTTTGATATCAAATAAAGTTTAAGTTATTTTTGATTATGCAATCAAATCTCGTTTATATATATAAAAATAAAAGCTGACTATTGTTTTCTCTCGCTTAGCATTCAGTCATCAGTCAGTTGTATCATAAATAAGACATTCTCTTCCACTAATGTTACCGCCTTTTATAATTTAAAACGTTTACATTGTGCTTTCAAAATATATATCACTACAAATTACATTTCGTCTATTGTTCGGCTTTGGTTAGAGTATGTGGTATAAGTATAAAGAGATAGGCATTTTTGCTCTTATACGATAAGAAATAAGATCTACTGATTGTGTTTTTTTAATACATAGTGTATAATGATTGTTACATAATTATTATCCTAAACTACTTTATAAGCTGTTAACATATTTTTTCTTAAGCATTTAGTCGTTTACCTCTTAATTATCTCGTTTATTTTAGTTAACTACCCTCCATATTGTTAAATATAAATATTTTGATATATATATATATGTCTTCTCTTGACTTGAACCACACCCCAAACTAACTTCATAACGTAGATATATTATAAAACATTACATGTTCACATCTTAATCTGTAGCGATTAGCACAGCGTTTAATTAGTGCGTAGCCGCGGGACAATAGACGTACATTTGTCTTCGATGTTGGTAAATAATAAATTGGGTTGCGTTAATTACATATATTTTTAACCGACTACGAAATAGGAAAGGATTTTGAATTTACCTGCTCATATTTTTATATGTATACCGGCAGAAATTTTATGATTCAAAGATATTTTTTTTTGTATTTTAAGATTACTTTCTGTCTAGTTGGATTGGTAAAATGTATAGATTTTATTAGTTAAGAACAGATTAGAATTAAATATATTTAACATCTGTTTAAAACTAAGATATTATTAGAAAAACAAAACTAATTACAAAACATATCTGCATTTTTTTATTTGAATGTTTTGGTCCTATAGAATGAATGAAGAATGATTGGGTCTATCATATTTAATAACATATGTAAATGATTTTTATTATTTGCTGCATAACCGAAAGGGCTTATATGCTGGAGAATATACAGCCAGCATTTGATTTAGCATGACATACGTTTCACTGTTAATTTTATTTATTTTGCATCATGTTATTATATTTAGTTTTTACTACGTAAAATAATGATTTTTATTATGTATACGAAATAATTTTTTTCTAAAAAAAAAAATAATTAAATGCAAAAAGCATGGTCATAGCTACATAGTGACGTCATAATTTGATTTCCTTTAAATTGGTCGAAGTGTTTATCTGTTATGTAACACAAAACAATGTATTTAAACTCCATAGTAACGAAAGCATCCGCAACAATAATCGTATAAATCATTATGATAATACAAGATAAGGCTATGTAAATACAAATATTGACATGAATCGATTGAACTCGCCTTAACCTTTTATATCACCTATTATTGTTATATCTATTTCTAATTTTATTGCATAACCAGATTATGTGGAACTCAGATAATTTTCGATATAAATCGGTCTCCATACAATTCTCATACATAGTTGTCATTCGATAGCATTATTATTAAAGGATATAAGCAGTTAAATAAACTTGTTTTACCGAAAAATTATGTCGTAATATTTCCTATGAATTTGACGGTTATTTTAACGTAAACGTGTGGTCTAGAACTTTGTTTTTAATGGTCCATATTACAGATTGTTAAATATCTAACGACACTCACAGATAGTTAAACACTATTTTTGTACGGTCACTGAAACCTACTTATTAAAATAGCTGTTAATATGGCGTTTATGAGGATTTAGGATTCTTAATGTCCCAGTTAAATAGACTGTGATGGTTTTAAAGTTATTGCTATACAATAAATGTTTATTTAGAAGTAACATAAATTGTTATTACAAATTAATAATTTTGGTAATAATAATAGTATATGGAAGTTTAATTATTAACGGTACTGACGTATCATCACGATTCTAGTCTAGACTAAATGATTTTATAAAAAAAAACTATGTAGATCATGACCAGCTGTTTACAAATAAAAAAAATACTTTCCTTTTTCCAAGGAGATCTCATGACCTTATTTGGATGCAGTTCTTTTTTTAAACATGAAAGATGCAAATTTTGCAACCCTGATATATATCTGTCAAGTTCTTATTTAAATATAATTGAGTGAATAATTGAATAATATTATTATTAGTATTGTTTAACATAACATATAGTATCGTCATCATATATGATAATAATGTCCAATGATCTTTGTTATAATGATTTCCGTATCAATTGCAGACGGTTTGAAACAAAACATTTAATTAATGAATCGCATCGGAAATTACCAGCGGCGATGAGAGAGATTATCATATAGTTCTAGATATTTTAACTAACATTTTTCAATAGAAATAGTCAAATCAAATGTACTGTGATTTTCTATGACAATGGATTTTTTAAGGAGATTCTTTCAGTGACAAAAAAGTAGCTAGGTATGAAAAACGTTTTAAGAAGAATTCTAATAATGCAAAATGAATTGACTTACTTGTTCTGTTTAACAGGCGTCGTGGATGGCGTGGGCCTCTTCTCTTCTTTTATAGTACTATTATTCATTTTGGACGTTAATCTTTTCAGTACATCGTCCATAGACCGCTTATGCGGTGGTGCGAGCGATAACGCGCTGTTGTGATTCAGCAATGAATTGTTATTATTGCAAAGTCCCAGCACTTTTTCAGCGCCGGGACTGCTGCATTCTGATGAGCCACGTCTTCTTGCCTGGAGATCGTTGACTTGATGCAGACTGAGGAATGACGATGGGACTAGAAGATTATTTGTCATGTCTAATGATTGGTCAAAGCGCTGTTTCTTGCTCGGCTGTTCGTCTTCGTAGGTTTCGTCTTCGCTGAGGGAAGTTCTTGGTGATGAACTCGGTGAGAACTTGTAGAAGTTCTGATGTTCGTTGTCGTCTGACTCGTGGTGGTCCGAGAACTCCAGTGCAGCTGGTCCGGCTTCCGATTTCTCTGTGTCGGTAGCACCTTCTTGCAATTTAGAGGGCGGCGACTTTCTTTTAGATGACATGTTTCTGTAAAGAAGAAAACAATTTTAATACTTTTCCAATTTCCAGCCATATAAACACATTCAATACTATAATATCCAAAGATATTTATATAAGTAACCGATTCCTTTGGTTACAAATGACAAAATATAGACTAAGTTCAACTCAAAAGTTTAGGTAATATACCGTAGGTTTAACAGTCAACCGTCCAACATGAACCAGACTCAGACACGTACAAAATAACCAAAAACATCGAAACTAAAATGGAAACTAAGACGAAACAAACTTTTAACCGGAACATCCGTAACTTCATCAGGGGAAAGACAAATATCTGATCCGAATCGCAGGTCAGACGGATTTGTCACCAAGTAGAACTCGCTTCGTTAAAGCATTTAATTGGCCTTTGCTAATTGTATTAATTGCTTCCCCTTTGGACTTAAGGTGTCCGTTATATGAGTTTACGGTAAGAACCTAAAGGTTAGGTTTAAAATACTACTACAAACTTATCCCAGGTTTATTCGTATCCGTACTTCAATACATACATTTTAAACTACTTATGTGTTTCTTCATCCTTACCTTAACCATTTTTTCCTAGCTCTAAGCAAATAGGCTGAATTCGTGCAAACAGTACATAAAATGCCTTACATAAAACTATACTGATTCATATACATATATATATACTTGTTGAAACTTCAAGATTCACCCATGACATATAACTATATAGGATCAGTTAATTAATGTAATAATTTCTGAGACAACCCTAAATCAAATACTCTATGTAATAGCATATATTGCGTGAGGGGTTATGTACACTCCAATCAATACTTAAGGGATCCCAAACGTCTTCATTGAGTGTGCCAACAAATGAATTTCTTGCTTAGACACGGTCTGGCGTCTCTTTGATGTCTGTTTGTGTACACAGTCTTAATTAAGCTACGAATTTATTTATTATCTAACTTAGATTTATTACTCGTCGTCTTAACATTTTCATTTGTATTTCTTTTTCCAATCGCTATATGTTGTATTGGTTTGAAGCGAAAATATTTTTATACAAGTTTATGTACATATATTTTTATCAAACAGAAATATTAGATTCCTATTTAAAAATAAAAATATTTTATACAGACGGGTTCTTCATCCTTTAATACAATCAAGTCCCGTTAACACAGTGACACTAGAAATTGTGTTATTGCCCGTCTTACCAAGGGGATCGAAATATAGAATTACAAACCTTTAGAGAGTACAACGAATATTTTTAAAATTTAACCACACTTTTTGTATTTAGAAAAGATGATCTCATAAAAATTGTCTTAAATCTTTTTTTTTTTGTATTTACATATTTCTTTTATACCTAGCGTAAATTATCTAAATATACATCCACGTTAAATATTATAAAAATATAATAAGTTCAATGGGTCCATGATCTGATGTAATTAACCTTAAGACCATTTTGGAACAAATACAACAGATTAAGAAAGATAATAATAAAAAAAAAACTGTTTGTGTTATGAATTTAAAATTAAATAAATACAACTTGGAATTTGATAAGAAAAAGTTATTAGAATCAAATCAAATGAATAAACAATCTGCACTTGACAATAATGAACTAGAAATATTTTGAAATACATTTACTGGTAGAATTGTGTTCACTCCATCCCTCGATAGTTGTCAACCAAACAAATGTTACTTTACAAAGTAATGTAGTCTTTATCATGTATGGCATAAGGTCTTATGAACGGCAAATAAATTATTGTTTGTTACTATTAATTTCCTTTCTATTACTACCACAATAACTTCACGCGGTGACTCGAACAATATGGCGATTTGGCGGGAAAATAGTAAGTCAATTACAATCAGAAAATCGTACCGAATAATCGTTTAGGGATTCGCAGTTTTTTTTATTTAATCCATAGAAATGCATGCGTTCCAAAATTATTGAAACGTTGTAAATACTAAATAATTATAATTAGGTTTCTCTTGATGTTTAAAAATGATAAAGTATTTTTTAAGTATACGTTTTATTCAACAGCACCTAATCAAATTTCCATTAACAAGTTGTATTTATGACAATTCCATGGAAGTGCTACAAAAATATGAGGGTTAAGTTCAATAGAGCACAGCTGATTACAATTTAAAAGGGGAGCGTTGGGCGGGAAACAATGACGTCACTAAATTGACGGCAAATTGTTTTGTTAAACGAACCACCAACCCTTTGCTAAGTGTTAGAAAAATTATTGAACCCCTTGATAAATATTGTACAAGAATATGATGATACGATATTAAAATATTAACAATTACTGTCAATTTTATAAACTAAGAAAATATTTTGCTAAAACGATGAACTTATTTAAATATTTTGCAACTATCAGCATTTATAACTTATCTACAGAGATGAGTAGCAGGAATCCAATTCATACAAGACCTAGATTCTGCTAGAGTTAATCGCAGGTGCTATGTAATTTATTTATTAATATGTCCATCCGTCTGCGAATAAGCCTTCCACAGGATGGACCAAGTTAGCCAATCCATCAGATGAAGGAAATTGCCAACGCCCGTCTTAAATATGTCTTCAGATTTCGGAGACGTCTAGTACGTACGAACAAGTTCCAATCAGAAATATCTCAACTAATATATTGGAAGTAAATCTATGTTTTCTGTTATTAAATATAAACGGTAAATTTCATTTACAATCCGAGTTCCAAGAGCGCACAATGAAAAATGTGAATTTATTAGAAATATTGTGAAGCACTCTTAATTCAATGACGAACTCGAATTTCTCCCGCTTTCTTATAAAAGTGGCGGAGTATTTTTCCTCGGACCAGTAACTGGATTATTCTTTTCTATTATAAGTTTATTCACAATAACGGAATAAATTTTCCAAGCGTTCTCTGTAAATAGAATTTCAATGTTCCATTTTCATTCTAAAACGTCAGACAGGCAATTTAGAATTTGTATTAATGAATTTTATTTTGCTTAAACAAATTGTTTATTTATTAACAGAATAACATAATCAGTTAAATGAGTAAAATTAGAGACATTTAGAATTATAGTTTTAAATATTTGTATTCGAATGTTATACAGGGTGACTGGTGAATTACTATCAATATTTAAGGAGAATACTCAGTACATGATTCTCATTCGAATTATGTAAAAAAAATAGGTACTTAATTTTTGACAAAATTTCCGTATAAATAAATAAAGTGTTGACACGTTCCAAGTGTTCCTAGTGTGGACGCGTGCGGCGGCGTGCTGATACAACACTACGCCGCCGTCCGCGTATGTGTGAGTGTGTGTCTATACCTAATCTTTAGGGTGTTCACACGATGCGTAATTAATTACATAACTTTTGGTTAACTTTACTTAGAAGTTTATTAATATTTATGTTATATTAATTTTTATTTTGTCATATATGATCGTCAAATATCACGTCCTCAAATATCGATAGTAATTCACCAGTCACCCTGTATAAGTTATTTTATCAAAATATATAAATGTTTTTGAACAAAATTTAAATAATATAACTTTGCTAAATTTTGGTTATAATGACCATATAGGAATTAGCAATTACGATATTACAAATTTAAAAAAAATTGTGTGAATAACAAATACGTAAATTTCGTATTTAGAAAACACATGTCTAAACTCAATTCCGATAACTATATATATAAACAAAACGATCATTAAATTTACAGATACATGTACGTGAAAAAAAATCAATTTTATTTTTTCCATCTAGTCCCATTCATCCCGAAACTTTCCAACTCCACAAGTCGCCCCCCGCGAGGGTAATAAGGGACATTATGATCACGTTGCAAACAATGCCAGTGATGTGGCGAACAATGCTCAATCATCAAGAAGATTACACGTCATTGTGCTCGCCACTTGTTCTACGAATCTTTTGAGTCTAGTCTTCCTTTGATGAGCTCGCGAAATTACTCCTGTAATTTCTATCGAATAAGTAATACTTCATAAATCGTTTAAATGTTACGTAAGATATCATTTTACCGGATTATTAATGAACAATAATTTTAAATTAATAATTTTGTCCACTATATGACGATATATTTTTTTAAGTAGAAAATGTTTCCTTTCTAAGCTCAATAAGGGACCAAATTTTCTTTACTCGGCAATACCATGACGATGTAGTAAAAAAAATAAAAATGTAATGTTTAAAGCAACCTACATACCCATACCTATTACATTAAAGCTTTTCAGACGATAAAAACTGTCAGTTTTCGTATACATGAATACTTTTTCATGTAAGTCCGCTTACATTTCGTCCTGAATCTTGGTTCATTTATCTCAGTTCACAGTGACCTAAGGACAAACAATGGATTCATCAGGGCCTCTTGTTTAGCGTAATCGTAGGGAATCCCTGACTCCGAATACGACATAATTGTTTAGGCATCGTCTTAGGGTCTATATTTTATGTTGAAATGAAATACAGTTTATTCCATTGGGATTTCGTATGACTGAGCCAGATTTGTTTTGCTATAAAACGTCATTCGAGTTAACGCAGCTGACGCGTTTAAATATATTAAAGTTCAAACTAATGCTGCGATAATATTTTTAACCTTTACATTGAGCGACGTCTAAACCTCGGATTTCATTCAACTTGTTTAACAAGAAAAATATATTATATAAAATTAAATGTGAAGTTTTTCTATTCAGTTACGATGGGACACATTTGAATAAAAATTATTGCGAAACAAATGCAATCCACTTCGAAGTGCACAAAACACTTCTGAATGAAACAGTGGAAATAAAAATGGCGGGCTTATAGTTGAGCATGAAAATATAAGTAAGTACCAGCGTTCGAGTCAAGATGCCACTACATTTCCGCACAGTTGCCCGCAAAGGAAAGCTTTCGATTGAGAAAATTTGTTCGGAGCAGTACTCGAAGATTTTTCTCGAAGCACGACAAAACGATAACATTTTTGTAATGCCGACACAAAAAACCCCACTGAAGACGTCAGGACGCAAATACACAGTTTCAAAGAAAACAATAACTATAACAAACTTG